CGGATTCGAACCTGCGACCTGTCAGTCTTCAGTCCTGCCGGCACAAGGGTTTAACCCACTGCCCCACCGGGGGCTCCTTTGTAGACTTTAAGTGAAGAGAAATATATAGACTTTAAGTGACTAGAGCATTCCTTTCCAAGTGCTTGTGGATTGTATGTTTAAAATATAATTCATCTGGCCCTGGGTAATTTAATTCATTTGGATTAGCCAAGCATTCCTGTGCTATCTCTTCATTTATGCTGTAGTACATAAATAGGAAAAGACTGAATATTTATATATATATATTTATATATATATATATATATATATATAGTCCCTTATTAGCATTCTACCATCTTCTCAAAGCAGTAGCCCTACCATTTCTTTGGTTTTCCTCTTGCTATGGGTATAATCCCCCTCCCCAAATCAAACCCTTTTTTAAATCTCTCCAGCATGGCTAAGCTCATTATGCAGTTGGGTTTTTCTAACTTTCTTCCTACACATGCTATCTATTCCTTTGAATTCCTCTTTAGTAATTTCCCCTTTTTACCATTTCTTGTACATCACCCTTTAACTCTTACCTCAACTGAAACTTGTTTAGATATCCATCCAGCTTTCTTTAGACACATCCCATTTTTCTTCCTCATTGGAACTGTCTGAAATTATGCCTTCAGTATCTCACTTTTCAGAAACTCCTATCCAGCATGAACTCCCTTCTCTTTCAGTATTCTTGACCACAGGATGACACCCAGTGGTTCCCAAAGTTTATTAAAATCCGCTTGCCTAAATGCTAGAATGAGTGTCTGACTATGCTTTGGTAACCCCTTTCCACTATTTAACAAACTCCAGGAGAACATGGTAACTCCCATCTAAAGATCCCACCACTTCCATCCATTAACCAGGTCCTCACTGTTGGTTAGAGTGGTAGCATAAATATCTAATCCCTTTCTTGCCTCTCCCACTTTCCAAACAATGTAATTGTCAAGAAGACACGTAAGGAATTTGTGAGAACTGATATTCTTGGTAAAGTTTGACTTTCAACAAGTATCAGTATAGTTGAAAACTCCCATTGCTACTACATTTGCCCTTTCTATGTAGTCATCTATTCGAGGAAGGCATCATCTATGTATGTCTTCAGTCTGTCTTGGAGGTGTGTAGAAACCCCCACAATTACGTCACTATTGTTTCCTATCTCCACACCTTTTTTGTTTTGCTCAAATGCTTGTGACCTGGTTTCCAGAATGTAAGTCATGTATCTCTTCATAGGTATAAGCATCCTGAATAAATAATGTTGCTGCTGCTCCTTTCCTGTGTGGTCTATTTTCCTGAAATAGGCTATATTTTTCTATTACTACCTTCTAATCATGAGACTCATTGCACCAAGTTGCAATAATGTCTAGCTGCTTATTTACGGTTTTTTCCTTCCCACTGTTAAGTTCTGTATTAATTACTCAGTTCTCTCTGTAACATTCAACCTAGTAACTTGATGAACTCCTGCCCTCTAGAATCCTGTTTACTTGGTTTAAAGAGGGCCACAAGTTGTGTAGGCCTGATCCAACCCATTACCTCCTCCAGGTATTCATTCAGAGGGCACTGTCCTTAGCTAAGGTTGTTTTTGAATGATCTCTCCCACCAGTTTCACATAAATGTTAAAAATATTGGAGATAGATTGGCACCATGTGGAATGTCACATAATAACACTTCATTTTTAGAGAAGCAGCTATCCCTAATCACCTCTATCTGGAACCTGCCTGAGAGGTACGACCAATGTAGAAGGGGTCTACATTGTTAATTGCAGCAATAATATGTTTCATGCTTATGTATATGTTTGATTTTTTTAAAGTTTTAATGGTTTTTATCTACAGTTATATGTTACTGATTTAGATATGTGATGTTGTTGTTCATTCGTTCAGTCGTCTCCAACTCTTCGTGACCTCATGGACCAGCCCACGCCAGAGCTCCCTGTCCGTCCCCACCCCCAGCTCCTTCAAGGTCAGTCCAGTCACTTCAAGGATGCCATCCATCCATCTTGCCCTTGGTCGGCCCCTCTTCCTTTTTCCTTCCCCTTTCCCCAGCATAATTGTCTTCTCTAGGCTTTCCTGTCTCCTCATGATGTGGCCAAAGTACTTCAACTTTGTCTCTAGTATCTTTCCCTCCAGTGAGCAGTCGGGCTTTATTTCCTGGAGGATGGACTGGTTGGATCTTCTCGCAGTCCAAGGCACTCTCAGAACTTTCCTCCAACGCCACAGCTCAAAAGCATCTATCTTCCTTCGCTCAGCCTTCCCTAAGGTCCAGCTCTCACATCCGTAGGTTACTACAGGGAATACCATGGCTTTGACTAGGCGGATCTTTGTTGCCAGTCTGATGTCTCTACTCTTTACTATTTTATCGAGACTGGACATTGCTCTCCTCCCAAGAAGTAAGCGTCTTCTGATTTCCTGGCCACAGTCCGCATCTGCAGTAATCTTTGCACCTAGAAATACAAAGTCTGTCACGGCCTCCACATTTTCTCCCTCTATTTTCCAGTTGTCAATCATTCTTGTTGCCATAATCTTGGTTTTTTTAATGTTTAGCTGCAACCCAGCTTTTGCGCTTTCTTCTTTCACCTTGATTAGAAGGTGAAAAAAAAAGATATGTGATATTTTTATATATATGTGAGGCATTGAATTTGCCATTTATTATGTTGTAAACCACTTTGAGTCCCCCCAGGGGTGAGACAAGCAGTATAGAAATATAGTTAATAAATAATAATAGTAATAATAATAATAATAATAATAATAATAACAAAGTGCTTCCAGTTGCCAAGTCCCCCAAGCATTCCACTGACTGACTCCTCCAGTCAGTGTTAAGACGGAGATCACCCACTAAGAAGGACATAACAGTCCCAATTCTACATCTTGCTCTGAAGCCAGTTTGAAATGCATCACTGAAGTGTGTGTGAACCAAGGACTACTTGGAGTTGGAGGGCAGCTGTGCTCCCAATTATCTTTCCCCCAGAAAGAAAGGTTAGATACTGGTCCATAATTATGAAAGTCCAGAGGATTCCAAGAGGGATGTTTCATCAGTCATCTAACTACTGCTTCTTTTAAACAGGATGGGAAGTTCCCCTCCCTGAAATATACATTAATAATGTGTTGTATTTCAGTTCAAATTGCATCTCTTGGCTGGTTGATCAGCCAAAAGAGGCAAGGGTCAGAAAACAGTTTGTCCTTCTTCCTTGCCATAGAAGCTTGTCCATATTATCAGTTCTCACCAGTTGAAACTGATCCAGTGCAGTCCCACTCAGGGTTGTTGCACACCCCATTATCGACTTCTGCTCCAATTATGACATCAATGTGGTTTTAAAAATCAATATTCCCAAATGTAAAATTTATCTTTTTTGCCACTATAGCGCACTGAACAGACATTCAGTTTGACTAGTTGAAGATTTCTTTTTTCATTACACCACTTCTCCATCAGACAATATGTGGTTGGGATGATTTAATTGTGATTTGTTTTGTGTCTCCCCAACCCAATGTGTGTGACTATGGAGGATAGTACTTTTTAGAACACTGAGGGTATATCTGACCATTGTATCACAGCACAAAGATTATAGAGCTGAAAATGACAAAACTGCAAAATGAATGAAAAATGTTCTTTAAAAGGCAAGAAAACCTTTGGAGCTTCATTCATCTCACTATTGTTTCTTCTTTTTGGTCTGCGCAGGGATGTTTCTGATGTTTTACCATCCTTGTGGGAGGCTTCTCTCATGTTCCTGGATGGAGAGCCGGAGCTGACAGAGGGAGATCATCTGCGCTCTCCCCGGATTCGAACCTGCAACCTGTCGGCCTTCAGTCCTGCCGGCACAAGGGTTTATCCCACTGTGCCACCGGGGGCTCCTATTTTGTTGGCTGAAATATTTCCTAATAATGATTCAGAGAAATCTAAACATCATGAAGACATCTAGTAGATCCCATCCAATCTTGAAAGCTTACTTAAACATGCAAACACACACACACTCTGCAGAACGACTGAACAAATCACTGGCAAATTGTAACATTGACCTAAGCTAATCCTAGCTACCCAAGAAGGTTGTGAGGAGTACTTTTTCATATGGAAATAAGCCAGAAGTAGTCAAACTATCCTAAAAGGTCAAAATGACATATGATAAAATATAGTCTTTGAGTAACTATACTTTGTAAGTAAATGGAAAAATAAGGTTTATTGGAAATCTGGCATTTTTACTTAAACGCCTCCCCCAGGCTGTTTAAATATGGAGATAACTAATGGAAACATGCACTTTGGATGTCCACATCTATCTGCCTTTCAATCAATAACTAAAGTAAACAAAATGAATTTAAATAGCACAGTTTAGCATGAGGGATGACATGCATAAAACTATCAACACCGGTCTTAAAATTTCAGATCAGTTTTGAAAGTAGACATCTGAAAGCATTTGTCCAGTTATTTCTTACTCCCCAATCTGGGAGCACAAAGAACCCTTGAAATCTTGTTCTAGTGATGAAAATGCATTGCATAGTATGTCTAAAATGCATTGCATAGTACATCAATGCAATGCATTTTCATCACTAAAGCAAGGACAAAGCTCTTCAGACTGTTTCAGGTCAACCAGTAGAGGCCTGTCTTTTCATGATGAATCACATAGATTAGCAGAAAATATATGGCTGTAAGAAGCCCACCGTGGATTCTGGGTAAATGCATATTTATAGAAGCATTTGTGTCAAAAAGATTTTTCTGATTGTTCTTCACTGATGGGCAATTTTCAAAATGCCCTTAATTGGAATTCTCGTGAGTCAATCTTTTGGGGACACAAAATATCCCTTTCCATATTTTAAGAGTTTCAAACTCTTCATGTGTATGCCCAAATCAACCCCCTCCCCATATATATATATATATATATATATATATATATACACACACACACACACACACACACACACACACATACACATACACACACACACACACACACACACCTCTTTCACCTGTCCCACTGTTACATTACTGACTGTACAACGTGGTTACTGATTTCACACTTTTTAATTTGCAACTTTTTGATAATGCTTTCACTTTGAGAAGGCTGAGAAGTACAAGATTGTCAAAATAAAATACAGACACAACAAACACAGACATTTGACACCAATTTCGGTTTTAACAATACGAATCATATCGACAAGCAATTTAAAATGTGATCATCTTTGACCTGAAGACTGAACAGATAATGCCACTTCTGTGTAGGTAAAGCTCTAGAGATGCTGGTAGATTTTGGCAGACATATTGGCCTGCACAATATTTCAGTACATGATATTCCATTACCAAGCTTGTAACGGCTCTTAAAACAGTTAGAAAACACTGTGCTGAAACATAGTATGGTTTTTTTCTTTTAAAATGGCAATATGAATAATGGATCCTGAGACTGTGTATAGTCCAAAGCCCATTGTTTGTCCCAGAGCAGACTCAAGTTATCGAGTTCCCATTGAATCATGTAGCTTTACCCTAGTTGGAACCAACAACAGGACTTAAGCCTGTGTCTCCTGTAGTACTTCCTGGTGGCAAAATATATTACAGGTTGAGAATATCTTATCCAAAACCCTGAAAACCTGAATTGTTCTGTATTTCATTTTCCCCCAATTTTGTATGCATGTTTATGTGTGTATGTCCACTGAACCACCAGATAACAAAGGGGTCACTATTTCAGACAGCCATGTGGACAGTTTTGGGTTTTTCAATATTTTCAATTTTGGAGTTCTGGATATGGAATACTCAACCTTATCAAAGAGGATGAAAGGGTCAAAATGTTGAAGGAATCCAGTTCCCAGATCTTAATAACCTATGCAATCCTGTGATAATCATGTTTAGTTTAGCTTCGTGAAATGCACTCTCCAGTAATTGCCCTGGGACTCCATCCCACAATAATAATGAAATTCACTTCAATATTGTAACTGATTTTGAGAAAGGTTAACTGAAAATTGGGATGATGTCAAGATGTAGTTAGTATCTCAGTTAGCAGATCTCAGATCAGAAACCTAAGTCCTATTTAATCACACTTGAAAACACTCAAGTTTGGAAAGTGTCTTCTTGTGTAGGAGGGGATTGGCCACCTTCAGATGATAAAGGGTCATTAAAGCAGACAAGTTATTCTAATGGAACAGTTTACCATTATAGTTGGGGCGAGCTTCCACTGTTGGCCCAGCTTCTGCTCACCTAGCAGTTTGAAAACAGCAATGTGAGTAGATAAGTAGGTACTTCTTTTGCGGGGAGGTAATAAAAGGTGCTCATGTGGACATGCTGGTGATTAGATCAAGAGAACATCTAAGGACAACAAGGCTCCTTGGCATGGAAGATGGAGCAACACCACCGCCACCCCCCAAAATGGCAGGAGTGCGAGCACAGCCTCCAGATACTGGAGATGGGAAAAGATGGGAAGCCTTTACCTCTGTTTATGTACTGTCTTTTGCATAACGGCATTAAATGTTTGCCATATATGTGTACCATAATCCGCCCTGAGTCCCCTTGGTGAGATAGGGTGAAATATAAATAAAGTATATTATATTTTATTATTAGTCACTTTAAAAAAATGTGAATTTGATACCCTCTGTTTCATAGATTAAAATTGAGACACTTGTGGCCAAACAACATCAGAACGTGTTCACGATGACAAAAGTTATGAATGAGAAAGAAGACAGAACTTAAGAGAGGATGCAGCAATTTTCTTTTCCCCGAATCTACTGGGAAGAACAAGATTCTACCCTCTTCCTTCCCACTGTAGAGTTGAGTGCAAATAAGTTTTGGACTCTGAACTCAGTTTGCAGTAATCAAAGTAAAGTGGGAAGGGGGAAGGTGGGAGGAAGAGAGAGAAACTGGTACATTTTAAGGCTATTGGAAAAATGAGATGACAGAAGATGGATTGGAATCATCCCTACTAAATTAGGATTGATGGGAAGTATGAAATTCCTCACTATGCCAATCCAAAAGTTACAAATAAGTTTGAACTATAGACTGGTCAAACCTATCTGGTCAATTTGAACCATTCAATTGATATTTTACCTCTTTGATTCACTTATGGAAACATTATCACTATGTAACACGATTTTTGTTCCTGGATTATAAATGTCATTTCCTAATTGGTTCTAGCATAAATATATGGAAAAGGTTGATTAAACTGCAAAAACTTTGTTTTTGCAGGACATCCAGCAGCACATTTTGCTATAGTTTTTCAATGAATATCTCACCGAGCCTCAACCAATGCAACATAGTTTGTGGCAGCCACAAAAACAAAGTGTCTGGAGTATAACAGCTACTTTCAAAGTAAGTACCACAAAATTAAATGGGAAATAACTCTCTGATACCAGGAACAGAATTTCTTTCTATTTCTCCCCTCTGTGTAACATCCTTAGTAGCAGCTACAAAAGCATGGATATACCACTTCCTTAACAGTACAATTCTGTCAGGACCCACTGAAATGAATGAGAGGATGGTGCTTAATTGTGCTCCAAATTAATTATACTCAAAAATATCCAAGGATTCAAAAAGTTAACATGCTAAGTATTAGTTGGGAGGGCACCCATGTTGGGTGCAATTTAAGGTGTTAATGGAATTCATGAAAGTAAGCAAGGTCAAAGCATGACAGTCTACTTGATATCTCTGTGGAAGCAAATATTAAGTCTTCCAAGGTAGCAGAGACCGGTCTATAAGGATAGATGGGACTGCCTTAAATTCTGGCTATTTTCTCTCCCCAGTCTGGGTGAATATCTGGATCTGCATGTGTGTCCATGTGTTTCTTCATGTGTGTGAATTCTCGCATTGTCCTTGACTCTACTGGTCAGACCCTTACCCACTGCTCACCACTGGTTTCTCTGCCCTCAACTGCAACAAATTGAATGGATACCAGCATCTACTGCAGACATGGGCAAACTTTTTTGCCTTGGGGCTGCATTGTGGGCCTGGCCGAGAGGGCTCGGCTGGGAGGGAGGGCAGCTGGGCACATGCTGGGTGGGATGGGCCTTGGAGGGGATGGGCTGGAAAAAGGTGGGACCAGGAGGGAGTGGGGCAGGGCCCGGGTCATCCTCAGGTTGTCCTCCTGGCATAAGGACAGGGCTGCTTGGCCCATCCTTATGTCGGTAGGAAAACAAGACGTGTCCCGATAATCTGCCCACAATCTTTGAGCTGTCCTCTTGGCATTATGCCAGGAGGAGAGCGAAACAGGTGACGGCCAAGAGTGCTCCAGAGGACTCTCAACTGCTATATGCCTTCCTCGGGCCATCCTCTCAGCATAAGGATGGGATTTCTTGCACCATCCTTATGCTAGGAGGAGGGCAAAACATGCAGTGGCTGAGAGCACTCCAGAGGGCTCTCAGCTGCTGTGTGTCTTCCTCCCCTGTCCCTTCTGCATAAGGATGTGATGGGCTACCACGTCCTTATGCCAAAAGGACAGGGGAAATGAGGAGGGCCTGGGGCTTAGTTTGCCCATGCCTGATCTATTGGGTTGTAGAAAGGAATGCACTATTGGTCTTTTAGTCAGAGCCTTATAAAAGTTGGAAGCCATCTATGGTGCTGTGATGGAAAGCACGGGGAAAGTGTGCAATCTTCAAATGAGCAGTGATGCTGATGGACATTGATAGTCATTTAAAACAATAGTCACTCAAATGAACATGACTTATGGAATTATGCAGAAAAATAATTCTAAACCAGTGGTTCTCAACCTGGGGTCCCCAGATGTTTTTGGCCTTCAACTCCCAGAAATCCTAACAGCTGGTAAACCGGCTGGGATTTCTGGGAGTTGTAGGCCAAAAACATCTGGGGACCCCAGGTTGAGAACCACTGGCTCTAAACCTTTGAAGATGGTTTCAAAATAGGGACAGAACTGAGGACAGAACTGAGGGCAGGTGGATTTTCCATAGAGGAAATCATATTTAGTCAACAAACAAAATACACCCTGAAATTCTCGCCAAATGGAATAGTCACACCAGCCTATCCTGACAACTAGTTGAATCCCCTCCAACACAAGACATGACTGCACATTTCTTGTGCAAATAAATGGGAGGAGAACCTGGCTTTAGGGCAAACTCTCTATGTAGGGCAATGACTTGTAGAGTTCCATATATATAACTATTTCTGCACCATTGCATAACTGTACTGTACTATGCGTTATCATTACTGAGTTGTTATTTGATGGTTGGAAGTTTCAGGATTGAAATAATTAATAATTATGGAATATATTACCTCTTCAAACATCTCATTCACCCTTGCAGTGACCAATTCAATCACAGCACTATTTTGCTTAAAAGCTCCTAATATCTGAACATTTCATAGTCAGCTGTTAGACTGGAAAAAATATATGCTTTCTTTTGTACAAAACACAAGATCTGAAGAATAAACTTTTTGGAGGGCAAAGGCAGAAAAGAACACAAGAGAGTAGCCTAGAAAAAGAAGAGTAACATATCTATTTTAACAATCCATACAAATATATGACATTCAAGATGCTAAATAATGTACTGATAAAAGCTACATTTCTCATATCTGAGAACTCGGCATCTATAGCAACCTGGGAAAACCTTTATTGCTTGACCAAAATATGTATAACAATGCTTGGGCTTTGGGTTGATTTTTTTTTTTGAGGAAAATATCATACATTTTTTTCTTTTTGTTTTAACAAAATAAATTAAATATACACGTCCTCTGTTAAACTCTATATAGAATTAGATCTTTGACTGAAATCACTTCTACTCCACTGGGACATTTACTATGGTTCAGTTTTGCTAAAACCTAGCCCCACTTTAAAACTGAACTGAAATGAGACTGCGCGATTTACTTCACAAAGTGAAGCTCCACTCCCTTCCTACCCCCGACCCATCCCACCCCACCGCCCATGCCCACAAGTGCATACTCAGTCCATTTGTTATTCCCTGGAGACTGATTTTAGCCTTTCTGGTTTAAAAAACTGCGTTTGTCTTGCTTTGCGTTGACATTTGTTAGCTCATCGATTTGCCACTATAAACTATGAAAATCCAATGACGGGTATTTAAGGGCAACACAATAGATTTTTTTAAAAAACCTCAGCAGTTCAATTATTATTAGCATTATTATAATTAAATATAAACATAAAAGTGAGATGTAAAATGTCCTTCGTTTTTGTGGCAGCTGCAGGGGCGAAGCAAAGTGAAGCCCTTTGAAGGTATAAAGAAAGGCCCTCAAGTGAAGAGGGGCACAATTCAACGCTAGCTTACTCTTCTTGCTAACTCTCAGGCAGCATCACACATTTTCACAATGGCAAGACGGTGTTTTTCCTCTTTGAAAAGCCACTCAGGTGTTTCTGTGTATGGTGTTGCTTTCCCATGGGGCCTCTGGTGACTTTTGTTCACCTCTCCTGAAGGGAAAGGTCTTTTGTGCCTGATCCAAAGGAAGACGACATGGGAGTCTTGCTCATCTGCAGGTGGCACCAGAGCAGGAGCAGTGACAGAAAGAAAAGAGGACCAGACCCCCATTGCCTTTCCTTTCTTCCTCTTCCTTGCACAACGAGACTTTCTGATTTCACAAGGACATAAACATCTGTCTTTGCCCCTGGAAATTCCTTCATTCTTCCTTGTCACAGTAAAAACAAACAATCAACAAACTTTTATTCCACATTTGTCTCCTTCTATCTCTCTCTCTTTTTTTGGTTTCATTAAAATTTGGTTTCCTTCCCCACCCGGCCCCACACCCTGGCAGTGTAAGCAGCGTCCGACTGTCTGTAGTACCATAAGACAAGCACCCACACACGACTGTTTCTTAACATTGGTAATGAATGTGCTGATGCTGGTGAACTTTGCCCTCCACGTGTGAATGAGTGTGGGTATGGATGTCCGTGTAAATCTTTGGATACATTTTGGAAGCCATGGCTGGGGCCAGGGCTGCCCCTTGGGCTAGCAAGTGCTGTTGCTGTTGCTGTGTAACATATTCCTCATAGTTTATGGAGGAAATGCAGTCTTTATCTGGGACCTGGGGCACACAGACCCGGTCCCGGGGGTGAGATCTGTGTATGGGAGCTGCTGATGGAGGAGAACACGGCTTCTTTTTGGTCTGGCAGAGCCACAGAAGGATGGTTCCAAAGATGAAAACAGCTCCTGCAGGGATCCCAATGATCACGGGCCACGGGAGGTTGCTAGCGGAGGAAGGAGCCACAGGTTGACTGGGTGGTTTGGGATCTGTACAAAGAGAAAGAAACAAGTTAATTAGAACCAGGCTAGGGTTATTCAGAGCAGATGTCAGTCTGGATTTTTGCATGCACTCTCTCAGCTGATGCTTTGTATGTCAGTTTTATTTCAGCCCATTTGAGATGTAATTTGGTAGCACCACTACATAGTTATAGGATGGCCCAGAGTAGGGGCCAATACAAAGCTTCTCTCAACGTCTTCCTCTATCAGACTAAAAATGTGTGCTTCAGCTACATATCTTGCTCATGATTTGCCTGGATGTGACTAAGCTATATGCAGTGAGTTTTGATCACTCCAGGATCCTGCTGCCTACACTGTCAGAATACCTTCTGTTGCATCTGTGAAAACACAGAGTACTACACCTAGATCCAGGGAAGTCATGCTACCACTCTATTCTGCCTTGGTTAGACCACACCTGGAATATTATGTCCAGTTCTGGGCACCACAATTGAAAGGAGATGTTGACAAGCTGGAATGTGTCCAGAGGTGGGCGACTAAAATGATCAAGGGTCTGGAGAACAAGCCCCATGAGGAGCAGCTTAAAGAGTTGGGCATGTTTAGCCTGAAGAAGAGAATGCTGGTATTTGCAGTTTGGGGAAGGGTATTTAAAATTCTCAGCCAGAGCGATCTTCTGCAGACTCTGATAAAACTATGTACATACTCCTGGATTTCACAGGATGCAGCTGTAACAGTTAAGATTGGAATCACAAGTGGCAATACTGCAATTTGAAAGGATCCAAAGTTGAGTTGATTGGATAGAATAAATTGTTTAGAATTCAGGCAGTTGAGTTCCACTAACAGCAGCAATAAGCTGAGGACAGAATATCTATGAAAATAAAAATGTAATGTTCGTTTGTGAGATTAACATAACTCAAAAACCACTGGGCAAATTGACACGAAATCTGGTACAATGCACCTATCAAGCCAATGAGTGACCATCACTCATAAAAACACTGAAAAACACAGCAGAAGGGACTTAAAAGGCCAAAAAATCAAAAAGACACTACAGCGCATGCGCAAAACAACTCCTCCTGGCAAACAAAGCACACTTTCTTCCAGATTACACCTCTCAGCATCCCCTAGACCAGGCCCTTTAGGAGAGGGGGATGCTCCAAATGCACTGCTTCCAAGATGCAAGATTTGTTATCCTTGGATTTCTTTGAGAGCATCCCAAACCCTGCATATTTCCAATTGCCTATTCCTGGACTGCAACTCCCAACAATCCTCCAGATAGATAGATTAGATAGAGGTTGATAGGTAGGTAGGTAGGTAGACTGATGAGGAAGACTGCTGGGAGTTTCAGCCCAAGAATAGGTAGAGAAGGAAGAATGGGGAGAATGAGGAAAGAAACAGGGGGGGAGGAAAGGAAGAAGAAGAGAAGGAAGGAAAGAAGGAAGGAAGGAGAGGAAAAAAGAAGAGAAAGAGGGAGGGAAGGTTGGCCACAGCAATGTGTAGTGGGTACAGCTAGTACACAAATAAAGCAGAATTCCTATGGTCCCAGGAACACATCCTAAGGAACACTAGAATATCCCTAACAATGCTGAACAAAGCCTCTAAATCTTTGAGGAGGAAATCCAATGCCCAAATCCTACCTTCTGGCTTCTCCCAAAAAGGCTTCTTGTTCTGCAGGAAAGAGCCCAGCTAGGTTTTGATCGTGTCAAGAGGGGCTGAAATATCAAAACACCCCCTGTTCTGCACCCTGCCTTTTAGGATGGTAATCTAAGGGAGACTCAATGCCCAACAATGAAGGAAAACCGAGGACCCATTATATCTTACCTGGCAGGACAGTGAGAAATGCGCTTCGGAAGCTGTATCCCATGGTGTTGGCACCCAGGCAAATGTACATGCCAGCATCCTCTTCTTTGGCTCGCGTGATCATGAGTTTGTTCAGATAGGAGCCATCGGGACGAGACCAGACCTCCCCTGTGGGGAGCACCACAAATTTCTGTCCCCCAACATCGATGGTGGAATTGTATTTGTTTTCAGTGCCATATTCAACTCTCTTCAGCCACTGAATGACCGGCTTGACGTCACTCCTCACCTTGCACTGAAAAGAGGTTGTCCCTCCATAGTCAACAGTCGTGTTCACAGGGTGCGTCCCTGTTAGAATTGGCTTGGATCTTGTTCTCTCTAAAACAAAAAAGTACAAACATCTTTTTAAAAATACATTTAGGAAGCCTTTATGTGGTGGAGTGTTCAACAGGTCCTTCTATCCATGTTAAATAATAGAAATGGCATCTATTCAGAAATTCCTACGTTTTGAAAGAAGCAGTAAAACAAATCCACTGTTAATGAACCATAACAATCTGGTATCAGAGGTAAATTAACTGAAATCCTCCCTAAATTAGAAACTAAGCATGTTAGTTACAGGAATGTGGAGTGTTGGCAATCAGCTTCACTGTAGTAGTAATGATAGCAAATTAAACTTTTGGTGGAAAATTGTATAGCCATAGCTCTTGTGTGTCTGGCAAGTGGGGAATCCTTGTCTGACATTTGTGGGCTTCATAATGACTTTGAAATTACAACAAAGAATGATATACCTGTATCTAACTCTTGCATGGGGTGGATATTAAAACCACACCCACAGTTCAAAGCACATGGTGTGAAACCATTATATCCATGGCAGTTGTAAGGATTAAAGCTGAGAAGAGGAGTTTGGGTAAGCAGGTGGGACTGAGAAGTGACCAGTAGCTTAGACAGAAGGTTTAAGAGCGGAAATGGGATAACCCCTGAACCACCCTAAAGCATGCTGTCAAAATATAAAGAAACTCTTCAGAAATGTGTCTCCCAAAGACTGCCAACTCCTGAGGCTGAGCTCACAAAAGCTAACAAAAACAAAAGGATATATACATCTTTGGCTTGATAAAAACCAAGATAAATGAGAACAGAAGAGGACTGCCTGGTTCTGATGAAGTGAAAAGGCTGCGTCTGACACTGAGAAGAGGATTGATTCATTTTCCTGTCTCTGCTCCTGGTTTTAATGTAAACACATGTTTTTACTGCTTCTAACACAGCTGCATCTTTATCAGTCCCAGATGTCCAGCAGGTTTGTATCATTTATACACAACAGTATCCTTCCACATGTGCTTTTCATTCACAGTTTTATAGAGGAAAAAAAGAGTTATAATTGAGCAGATTATTGTCTTCAAATGTGAGAATTTGTACACCAAAGCTAATTCCACTATGCGACAACTAATAATGGGACACAATGGCAGGCCGATTAAATCACTGAGTGATGCTGCTAATCAGAGTGGGCATGGTTGGGACTCGCTGGAGTAGATTTTCTCCTGCGTATGTGATGCATGTGTGATATTTGGGCAGAAAATCCATTGTATGTGCATAGTACACACCATGCCTGCATATGGTTGTGTTTTACAATGGTGTAGTGAAATAGTGACTGTCATGCCCTACCTCAAGATTTGTGTGTGTGTGTGTCAGGAGGAACTTGAGAAACTGCAAGTCACTTCTGGTGTGAGAGAATTGGCTGTCTGCAAGGACGTTGCCCAGGGGAAGCCCAGATGTTTGATATTTTACCATCCTGTGGGAGGCTTCTGTCATGTCCCTGCAATGGGAGCTAGAGCTGATAGATGGGAGCTCACCCTGCCCCCCAAATTCAAACCGCCAACCTATCTGTCAGCAAGTTCAGCCGGCACAAGGGTTTACCCATTGCACCACCGAGGGCTCCATCTTACCTTAAGTGAATCATAACCATTGGAAAGTATCAGGCAATAATTTGTTCTTTCTCTTGTAGCTTTAGCTTTAGCAGTACAACATCATTTGAGGCAATACAATAACCATTTCAGAAGCAGACGATTTTGTCTTGATAGAGAAAGGAAATGACAGGGTAGACCAGGGGCCCTCAAACTAAGGCCCGGGGGCCAAATGTGGCCCTCCAAGGTCATTTACCCGGCCCTCGGTTAGGGTCAACCTAAGTCTGTAATAACTTGAAAGAACACAACAACAACAACAACAACAACAATCCTATCTCATCAGCCAAAAGCAGGCCCACACTTCCCATTGAAATACTAATAAATTTATATTTTTAAAATAGTTCTTCATTTTAATTATTGTAGTGTTTTTAAGTGTTTTTGCACTACAAATAAAATATGTGCAGTGTGCATAGGAATTCATTCATGTTTTTTTCAAATTACAATCCTGCCCTCCAACAGTTTGAGGGACTGTGACCTGGCCCTCTGTTTAAAAAGTTTGAGAACCCCTGGGGTAGACAATACCCAGACTTCTAAGAATTGAACATGAAGGTTAGGGAAGGCAGCAACTGCTCTCATGCTATGCACATAATCTAATCCACTAAACTAATTAGTGCATCGATGAAATTTTTAAATAAGTGATCTGATTTTATAGTTTCTGGCCAACCCTTTTTAAAATACATCTGTGAGGTGATGATATTCTAAAAGGTAACGTATGACATTTCCACCAAAATGTCCTAACTAGGAATAAAGATCTCAGTACATACTTTCTAAATCCAATCCAAAAATAATAAATTAGAGCTATATTACTGAGTATGAAACTATTATTCGGATTAGTTCTATTTTATGGAAATATCTTGTGCCGTTATTCTATACATCCATTCTGTCAATTTGGGTCAATTCCAACATTAAACAGCCATTCTCTAATACCTGCCATTATACTACTTGCATATGCCAAATGCCGCATTATTTTAACAAAATACAGCATGATTCTTTCCCTAAAACCAAAATGTACAGAATGTTTCTTCTAATGATCTACCCTAAAGTATTTCCTCTAATTGGACCCTGTATTCGGTGTTCCCTTTGGTTTTTTATCCTTATTTTTTATTAAATACTTAAATATTAGGGTGGAGGAAATCCTTATCAACCTTGCATTAGAAACACAGCTGAGAGGGTAACTAACACATTGAAACTTAGGACCAAAATTGATAAACCAGAAAACCAGACAGGAATTAATAAAATAAAATTCAAGAGAGAAAAATGGGAAAAAAAACTATGTTTAGGACACAAAAAATAGATGACAAGTATAGGATGGGTGATATATGGCCTGGCAATACTATACGTGAAAAGGACCCTGGGATTATTGTTGATCATAAGTTGAACATGATAATAGCATGTTGTTGCAAGAAAAGAAATTAACTATGATCTTAGCTTACATTAATAAAACAATACTTTCAAAGAGAACGGAAGAATTAGTCCCACTATATTTTTTGCTTATTAGATCCCATCTGTAGTACTATGTTTGGTTCTGGGCATCTTGTCAGGAAGGATATAAAGAAGTTGGAGCAGGTTTAGAGAAGGACAATAAGGATGATACAGTATAGGAAGAATAAAAGAAATGAGGAAAAGTTGAAGGAGCTGGGTATGTTCAGTTTGGTAAAAAGAAAGATGAGAGTAACATGATTGTACTCTTTAAACTTCATGAGCTGTCACAGGGAGAAAAGTGCAAGTGCCCCAGATAATGTTTTCTGTTTGTTTACAACAGTTGTTCTCAACTTATGGGTCCCCAGATGTTTTGGACTTCAACTCCCAGAAATGGTAAACTGGCTGGGATTTCTGGGAGTTATAGGTATACCAGGGGACCTACAGGCTAAGAACCACTGGTTTAGAATTTGATGGACATTAAGAAATGTATTGACAGTAAGAGCAGTTTGGCAATGAAAAGAATTATCTGGGGACCTCTAAACATCTTCATAAGGAGGCTGCACAGCTCCCTGTTAGGATTGCTCTAGCATGAAATCCTGCATCAAGCAGAGGAATGGAGTCAGTGTCCCATGGATTCTACAATTCTGTGGTTCTTATAAGATTTCAAAATTATTATTAAACTTTGGACAAAAACCTTAAATGCATTCTATAGTACATACTAAAACTCAATTTTCTTGAAAACAACTTGTAGCAAAATCATCTAGCAATTAATAATAATAATAATAATAATAATAATAAATTATTTTCCTAATTGTATATAGATTGTACAGGACACATCACAAGATTTCTAATGCTTTAAATTCTGCTCTCCATGTTTAATAATGGTTTTATATGTCCAGGCTTAGAAACCTTTCTAGTCAGCCCTGCTCTAGTCAATCACTTTGACTTCAGGCCGGTTCCCATGTAAGTGAAATATTCTGAGAAGCTTCACTTTACATTTCTGGTCTGCAAAATTCTGGTTTGATTCAAATGTATCCATTGGATTGGGAAAAAGTGGGACATCTCTCTACATGTTTCTAGGACCCACTGCACTGTGTACATCACACAAGTGTGGATAGGTGAGAGGTACACTTTTGGATACATTTCTCTTTTCAGCTCTAATGAGTCCTTAGAGCCAAACCCTGCTAAATTGATTTTCCAGTCTGCATATGTAGGAGCAGAACTTAAGGCTGTTGGTTTGAGAAAGATCTTCTCCCATCCTTAGCCCTTGGAAGATTACTTACGGATTACTTCGACTTTGTAGGTAGCATTGATTTCCCCAATTCGGTTGAAGACCCGGCAAGTGTATTTCCCACTATCCTCAGGCTTCAGGTTTTTCAAATTCAGTGTCCACTTTTTCCGTTTATTCTCGCCAATCTCATGCGGGGTTAGAGGCTTGTTGTCTTTCAGCCAGGTAATGTCTGGCCGAGGATTCCCACTAGCGACACATTTCAGCCGGACCGAACTTCCCACTGGCCGAGCAATTACCCTCCGCCTCATCTTGGCAGGCTGAGTAAATCTAGGTCGAGCTGCAAAGTTGAGCAAAGCAAGGGGTGGGTGGATATAAAAAGAGATACACAGTGAGCAATCAAAGCCAGCTTTTAACGCACTACGTTTTAGATATGGAAGGCAGCATTGTTGTAAGGTCATGCTTTTTGTGCTGCTTGCTATGTTTGATTTTGTTGAATTTAGAATGATTGCCTACCATTATGAGAGCCACTGTACTGTAGTGGTTTGGGTTTTGGGCTAGAAACCTGGGAGACAAAGGATTTAAATCCCTGCTCAGCCATGGAAATCTATTGGGTGAAATTGAGTAAGACAATTGGGCCAACAACTGCAAACCCGCTTTGAAAACATCTTGCCAAGGAAATGTAGCCTCAGGGTAATCATAAGCCAGAAACAACTTGAAGGCACAAAGCAATAAACTTGCAATTATAAGGTCAACACAGTCAATTTAAGGAATTTCTTTTTAAAAAACAAAACAAAACATATGGCTTAAGTTAAATACTTATGCATAATTTTGAATAGTTTGTGCATATGTAGATTTTACAATGCAAACAAAACAACTAATCTCCTTTGTACCTACTTGCCACAATAAATCTCATTGAGATGAGATGTGTAATGCTACAGAGGAATAGTTCTCCTTGAACTCAACTATTAAAGCACAGCCTAACACATATCTATTCAGAAATAAGCTCTATGGGTTCAATAAGACTCTCAGATAAATGTGTATAAGAATACATCCTATATATCTCTATAAGCTTCTAGTCAACTAAGCAAACAAACACATAGGAGGCTAAAATAAGCTGCATGTACAATAGACTCTCAATTAACCAGCACTCATGGGGATTGGTAGATACCAGATAAGTGTAGTTTCTTGAGAGTTACCATTAAAAATACGCCTAACGAATAATGAATACAATATCTCATATTGTACTATACCATCAACTCTGTATGGATGTAATCTTAATATGGAAATACAGCTTAAATCAAATATTTATGCATAACTTTGAATAGTTTTAATTAAAAGCAACTAAAGACAAACATAACTTAATGTAACAAGTTAACTATATCATTTAAATACAGATTTTTAATTTAAGTATTATTTCTTTCAATGTTTTTACCAATTGCTTGAGAGTTCCACAAAAAATTAATGCAGTTTGACACCACTTTAATTGCCATGGCTCAATGCTATGGAACCATAAAAGCTTGCATTCACATTGAAGGTGAAATCAAACTTTGGCAAGATTGAGGGTCATGTCTGTATCTTATTAATGAATCAGCCCCCTGGGGTCATAGAATAATCAGTGAATGCACTGCCGCACAGCCACTCAGTAGAAAGTTTGGTTCAAGGATTGGGATTCAGCCGATTCTGCAAAGAGCCACACTCTCTGTAAAACATCATGTGTGTATTTGGAGAGTAATCTTTGCCCTCCTGCTGTTCCAGGATTCTCAGAGTGCAACCATGAAAACTACTTTTGCATAAATGTATAGAGCACCACCCACCGTCTTGCCACAGTTGCTCTGTCTTGGAAGTCATACTGGAGTTTATAGGAAGCCATCCTTAAAGGGTATCCAATAGCTTCACTTAGTGACTTCATTCCATGAGTGGAGGGAAAGCAAGAGAACACAGGGTCTTTCCTTTGCTTTCTCCCACTTTCTGCTGTTTGGAGTCAGGTAACACCTGATTCATGAAAATAGCTTTTGGGCTCAGTTTCCATGCGCTGCCGAAATGGAGCCCAATGGAGTCCCACCAGAAGTGCCCTTATTTCATGTGATGGCCTCCGTGGGGCTCCCCTCAGGCTATTTCTACATCACATGGAAGTGGAACCTAGAAACTGTGGGTTGAAGTCCCTAAAGTAAAAAAATGGTAGTGATGCTGCTAAGTCATGTATTCTAAGAAAACCATATTATTTTACCATCTAAAGACCTACACTAGCCAACCACTGTTTTCACCTAATTCAAGGTGCTCTTTATAGTTTTAAGCTGCAGACACTTCATGGTCCAGCTAAGGTAACACTGTCTCATTGTGAACCTATCCGAGTGCTGAAATCTCAAGAATCCTTTTGAGAATCCCATCACCAGTAGAAGCCTGTTTGATAGGAAAATGGGAGAGGGCTTTCTCCTATTTTCTCTTTGGAATATATTTCCTTCAGAGTAATTATCAATCTTCACATTCACAGCTTTCAGGAAACACATGAAGATAAAGCTTTCCAAACTTGCTTTTAAAACTGTTTTGATTATTGTGACGGAATTAATATTATCATTGTTTGAGTTGTTTTCCAGTGATATATGGTAGCCTAAAGAACTATGCGCTCCATGCAGTCATGCCGGCCACATGACCTTGGAGGTGTCTACGGACAACGCTGACTCTTCGGCTTAGAAATGGAGATGAGCACCACACCCCAGAGTCAGACATGACTGGACTTAATGTCAGGGGACTACCTTTACCTTTACCTTTTAAAGGACTATGAGTAGGATTTCAAAAATATCGACTTCAGTTAAGTTTTTTAAAACTATTTCTTTCCATGCAGAAACTTTCTTCAGATCCTTATCTGTGTCTTTGTTATTGTTTTGCTATCACTTTAGCTATATATTCAGCAAACAACATACCTTTGTGCTCACCATCTAAGCCAGGGGTCCTCAAACTAAGGCCCGGGGGCCAGATACGGCTCTACAAGGTCATTTACCCTACCCTCACTCACAGTCAACCTAATGTTTGAAATGACTTGAAACCTATCTCATCAGCCAAAAGCAGGCCCAAACTTCCCACTGAAATACTAATAAGTTTATATTTGTTAAAATTGTTCGTAATTTTAATTATTGTATTGTTTTTAAGGTTTTTTTGCACTACAGATAAGATAATGTGCAGTGTGCATAGGAATTCATTCATGTTTTGTTTTTTTCAAATTTTAATCTGGCCCTCCAACAGTTTGACGGACTGTGACCTGGCCCTCTGTTTAAAAAGTTTGAGGACCCCTGAGCTAAGCTTTCCACAAAAAATCCAAAAGGCTAAAGGTGCAAGGGCTCTGCTAGCCCCAGTTCCCCATGATAGAATCAAAGTAATGAGACACAGAGGATTTATGTTTTTATTGGTTTTTACTATTTCATCTGATGTTATTTATGCTAAATGTTTTAATGTCTGAATTTATGTTATTGGGGGCATCGAATTGTGTGGTTTGTAAACCCTGAGTCGCCCTCGGGTTGAGAAAGGCGGTATACAAATATGGTGAATGAATGAATGAATGAATGAATAAAGGAATAAAGGAAAAGTCCTAATTCTGGAACTATGTTATATTTAAAATGATCTTAAATCTGCTTTTAGCATTCTCCTTTAGGTATTCTATCACTATAATCTTATTGTGTTTCTCCTTGTGATGTCCAGAACCTTGCCATGAGAACATGGACTTCCTTGTAGTATTACTCACACCTGCAATGCTCTCACTAAGCTCTTATAGTTTGGGTCCAGGTTATCTACAGGATGGCTTTCTCCCATACAATCTGCCCCAGACGCTGAGGTCCTCTGGTGGATGCTTACTCCAAGCAGCCAGAACCCGACTGGCGGCCGTCATCCAAGGACCTTTTTATCAGCCGCCAGACGACCGTGGAATGACATGCCAGAAGAGATCCGACAGTTAAATGATATGTCGGAATTTAAAACACATCTGAAGACCTACCTCTTTCGGCAGGCCTACCCAGTCAGTTTTAATCGTAAATTTTAAACTCGCATCTTGTTTTCACTATATTTTAATTTTTGTGCTGTGTATTAATTTTGTAGAAATACATTTTAATATATTATTTTATATAATGTTTATAATGATTATGTATTTTTAGCCATGTTGGAACCTGCCTTGAGCCACAAAGAGAGGCGGGTAAAAAGTAAGATAAAATTATTATTATTATTATTATTATTATTATTATTTCACAACCACACTTTCCCTGGCTGCTTTGTTCTCTTTCTTGTCTATACGCAGCTTCATGCCTTGGGTTAATTTAGTTAATCCAACCAAATTCTCCATTCTGTAGTAAAGACATCTTTGTGTATAATCCCACACATCTCACCATGAAACTGATTTTCTTTCATTCAGGCCTTGGTTGGCTTTTAATGGCCAATTTTCCTCTCGGTTAAATGTGAAGTGTGTTACATATGTTGGTCAGTTATAGGTAAATAACTGTATTTGCATTACAGATATGACTGGAAATATAAGGCAAAACTGAAAAAGCCCATCTTAGCCAGCCCCACTGTGACTGAAAGAGAAATTAAAATGATCTGAAATCTGTTTAAGAATCTGTTAAAACTAAATTTTCAAGGGCTGAAAAGCTAGAATGGAATTACTAATGCAGGAATGAAAGCATATTATGCGTACATGTCTATGTACGGCTACATATGGGTGGAAAAGACCTAGAATTCATATGCCAAGAGCTGTGCATTCATTCACATGGCACAGGGGAGTTGCACTGTGCAGCTGGGTAAAATGGTCTGTCCATACCCAAGGGAAAGGGAGATAGACCTTGCTGTGTCCTCCTTACAGCCATTCCTCTTTCACTCTTAGTCTTTTAGCCTGTATGTGTGGCTGCTGCTCTTTCCAACACACAACATGGAAACGGAAAAGGATACATGTGGCTCTCACTATGCGAGCAAGTTTTAGAGAACAGACTTTTCCTCATACCTCACCCCCATTCCCCTCCTGATCAGCCTCCTCATCTATTCTCACACACTGACCTCATATTTCAGATGCATTCAGTGGGGGAATCCAGCTCAAGCATCTCTCTCATGTATACTCTACCTCGAGGAACATTTTTAGCCCAAGCAGCAACAAGTGGGTTTTTCTCCACCCCACTCTGACATTCTGGGTCTTGGCCACATCAGGATATTTTATTTCAAACTTTTCTTATGCAGCAAAGAAATGCTTTGCTCTCTGCTCAGAGGCTTTCATGTGTAACCTAATGAACGGGACTGACTCCAGCATCCAACGACCTAGCAGACAGCTGGGGTAACAAGTGTGATATCCTAGCTCATTCTGTAGGG